AGCTTGACCCCATGCAACTATACCATACAACAAATAGGGTTGGATAAGTGACCTGTAAATGTGGTTTAGAGTACTAAGGGGTACAAAGTGTCTTAATCTAGAGATAATGCCGATTGATTTACTTATTTTGGATGCAATATGAGCAATATGGTGACTCCATGAAAGAGTTTCATCAATAAGCACTCCTAAGTATTTAATAAATTCTTTACTTTCTAGAGAAATATAACTGTTAGGTGAGGGCTATGACAAGTTAATTTGATTTTTTCAACTGAGTTCTTAATGTGAAGTAGCCATTTTAAAGAGTGAGAGGCTGAAATTTCAAACATAAGCCCCTCATCAGAGCATGATCAGAGCTTTGAAATTATTTGGCAAAGTCAGGTTAGTTTGCTTTCGAAGACAGTGAAAAGATAGGCATAATTATAAGTTTTGGCTTTACAAATTTTACACAGGGAAATAAAATGAAAAAGATGATAACTCTTTTGATTCCTATGAGTGACCGAGACAAAATTTCTCCTTACAATATCAATACAATGTTGAGAGGACAAGTGATGAGAATAAAAGAAAAATATCAATTAGGGGATTATTTGTTGATCCAGTACCAAATTCTCTGAACTAACATTATAACAATTTTATGGCAACAGCAAGGAGAATTACTAATGAGATGTTAGGAGTGAAAGGGTTAAAAGAGGGAAAATGTGCATTGTTGTATATCTAGTTTCCTTGGGGGCCAGATGTAGGTTTGAAGTGTTCAACAACAGGTAGATGTTAAGGGAATATTATATGGCTTCTTAGAGTATACATTTTATTACAATGTGGATGTCTTGTAAGTGAGCAAAGAGAGCAAACGAGAGATATCAACTTTAGTTGACAAACTAAATTCCTGTCCACAAGTGGACATGCAATCGACATGCTAACCACCTCCCGGTTAGCTCAATTGGTTAGAGCGTCGGATTGTGTTGTGCAGGAGGGCAAGGGTTTGTGCCCCGGCCGGACCAATACTCATGGTCTTAAAATAAGTGAGGAGAATTTGCTACCTTTCTATAATCAAGAAATGGATAGATATTCTAGTCTTCTTGGATAAGGACGAATAAACCGTAGGCCCCATCTTCTGCAGGGTTACGGGGTAGGAGATGTTAATTTCCCACGCACAAGATTACTTTGTTGTGGATGTCCTCCCCTGGGTTGGGATGGGTGGGAATTGGCCCTGAAAAGCCCCCATGGGGAGTGGTCAACAAATGTATGTAGGTATGCAATGTTTTGTTTATTATTGAGATATTGATTACATGTTTGAATCAGAAAATTTTTGACACGATTGTAATGGCATGGAATGTAAAGGTCTGCTTGAAAACTCAGGTCTGACATGAAAAGATAATAAGTTCTCAGAAAAAGAAATGTTTTCCATTTAAAAGGTGAACTCAACCCTAGTAATGTTTATAAATGTTCTATAACACTTTTGTATAAAGTAAAACCACCATGTAGATAGACCTTGTTCTATGTGACATTGATATCTTTACTTGTAACCGCTTATGGTGAGTACATCATAGTTTTGAAAGCAGAGCAATTCTGGTATTTCATCAATATCTGTTTAAAAAACCTGATAATTGCTACTGTGATAGCAAGATGATAATAATAGTAATCTTTATTAAGATTACTTCATATAAAATATGGTTTTCAAGAAGGATCTCCAAAAAGCAAGGAAATTGGACATTTACTAGATCAGTCTCCCTTCTGAAAAACTATGCTGATTGTTGCTTACACAGTCCTCTCCAGCTACTGAGAGTCTGGCAAAGGCTATGGTATTTTGCTGTACCAGTATCCATTTAATACTCCAGGGTGGAGAGAGAGAGGCACAATGAAGAGAAAGTATATTTACAGAGGAGCACAACACAATTAATTACCCTTCACCCCCTAGGTCTTGAACTTTTGTTATTTGATACAGAGCACAGCACGCTTACCATGAGGCCACAGGACCCCCATAAAAAAACCTGTTAAAGCTTGTAGTAATTGAGATCGGATTAAGCTTTCTAATTAATTGGTCATGGAATCCCCCTATCATAGTTAGTAGAGGGGACTACTAACTATGCCCCAATATAATAGTTTTTGTATGTTTTATATCCTGTTCATACCAAATTAAGCTTTAACATGTTTTGAAGCGGTTTTGTTATGCACGGTTTACAATGTTTTCCTCTTGGAGGTTGCTTGTAAGCCAATCTTTTCTTGAGTTCAAATTTAGCACATTGAAACTTCAAGTTGGTGATTTCTTGAAACCTATGGAAAATTTAGTTCATGCAGTTCATTCAGTTAAACCTGGTGTAACTGAACATGTTTTGGTGGTGTGGATGGGCTATTAGATTATTTCTGATGAAATTTTCCTTGATATTTTTTAACTCGGTCAGGACAAATTTTGAGCATTTCGGCAATCCAGATTGTGAAAGTACCCATGAATCTTGACGGAAGGCATACACTTCCTTGTTGCACAGGAAACCACAAATATCGCGTGACAGCATTTTTTTTCTTTTTTTTTCTTTTTTTTTTTCCCCTTTTTACAGAAGTGTTAATGATATATGGGTGAGGATCATTAAAGTCTACGATTTTTTAAAAGTTTTACCGGAAATAAAACCTACATTTGCGGTTATCTTCTTGTCTTTATGGTCGAAATCTGAAATAGGTCATTCCACTAATGTGGGCTGCCTGTGTCTTGCACGCTCGGGAGCGTTAATTTTGCTCATAACAATCCGTATAAATAACATGGCGGAACATCAAGGGGATGGTTTTATACAGTTTTCGCTAGACTTCATCACCAAGACATGGTTGGGCAGGCTAAAATGCGTAGAGTTGTTGTTTACGCTTCTCGCTGGTGCCTTTGGCTCATCCGTCAGATCGTGGATTGGGAATGGATATGGATGTGGTTGTGTTGAAAAACTTAGCTTCTTCGATTTCGTCGCCTGGACCGCGTTCGTGAACGCCCTAATCGACATCATTATACATGTGATTGGTTTGTGGGAAAGGATTCTGTGGTTTTTCCGCCATCCTGTACTTTACCTAGTTCTTTGTGGGCTAGCTGTTTTGGGATTCCTGATCGGTTCATCGCTCGGTGCTTCGTGCGCTAAACGTATTTGTGTTACAAGTCCAAGCACCGCAGGTGTAGCCACCTTTTTCGGTTTCGTCTGCCTGGCTCTGTTCGCTTTAGAGTTCTTCCTACACTTTCAGGAGTACAGGGCTTTGCAACGAGAGAAACAGAATCAATCTTCAGCTGTTGGCGAGACACCAGATTACATAGAAACACCACCGAATAATTATTAAACTCTCAGCGGTGCTGATTGAATGCGGTTGAGACTTCCTTTCTGTTTACTAGTAGTAGTTCATTTGTTTGCAGATTTACCTTAATTTATCGTTAAAGGCAGAAAATTACGCAAGGTTTAGAGCGAGAAAGGGCGGTGAGATCTTAAGAAAGATTGTAACTCTCGCAAGTACGTAACTGCGACAAGTTTTGTCTGCGTTCTAAAAATACAGCGTTGGAATGTTCTTTTATTAGATTCCCAACTGTTTAGGGTGTATCTGATCTATGTACTTAACTAATTATGCCACTTGTATAGCCATAAAAATTTGGCAGCTTTTTAAACTTTAATTATCAAGATGACTGCAGATACTCTTAAATTACACAGGAAATTTTCAAACCTGTGATATTATTCTGAAGGATGTATTGATCTTACAGAATTTGTGAGGACAAAGGTGCATGGTGCAAGGCTGATAAACCCTTAAACTCTGCCTTCTCAATGCCACATATTACCTTGTAAATTAGCAAAGAGAATTTGTTTTTATATCAGGCTAGTATGCTCTAACTTAAAAGTGTGTATTTTCATAGCATGTTTACTGGGAGATGTAGTCAGAGCTCTCAGGTTGATTTGCTGGTAAAGAATGAGACACTGCAGGCATCAC